AAATTTTTATTTTTTAAATGAATAAATTACATCTTTTATTTGATTTAATAATAGATGACATCAATTCGTACGAACATTTTTTTTTTTTTTTAACTAGCAATAAAACAAATCTGTACATACGGATACGAAAATTTTTATTGGGATTTGGCATTTAAAAATTACATTATATTAGTTATATGATGAAAATTTTTCCACCGAAGTTTATGTCACTTTCATATAGCGGCAGCAAATATTATTGCTATTTGGGACTTTGTTACGGCAAATCCCAAACTACCGTAAACGGTCATATAAAGACCCGGGTCTGTTACATTCCACCAATTTTAAAACCTATAGTAGACCCGGGGTCTAGCACATGGCTGAGAGTTTGTATCCTCGAAAGTAAAAATTTGAAATGCATACACACTTTGCATTTGTAATATGCATTCTACTGTTTGTAAAGAATTGCATTTTTAATCAATAAGATCCTAAGAACTGTACACAGGTATAGTATCTGGTGGGTCTACTATTCTGAGGGGTCTTTTATATGGCCGTTTACGTAAGTTTCGGCAATTTGGGATTCGGCAGATGACGAAACTATCGGGTTTGTGTGAAACCACATAATTTAAAATCCAAACAACCAGTATATAAAACAATTAACCGGGTCACAGGCAAATAAGTGAATGTAAAACCGGATTCTATAAAGTTGTAAGCCAGTCATCTTAGTCGATCGGTTCAGCTAACTGACGTTTTGCTTGTATTATGAAGAGCCGGTTTAGATTCGTAAATTTTTTACATGATGATGCCATTAGCCATTTATTAAACTATAATATCATAACTATAGTTAATACTAGAGTTAGGCACACTCAAGTGTCCGCGTTTAAAAGAATCAAAATGTTAAATGTTTTTTCGTAATCAACTATGACCTATCAATTGAAAATACTTTTTATGTAGGCCTCCCGCATTTGTCTTTCTTGAATTAGGATTCCACTCAAGTATTTTTATTATTCCGTAATATTTTAGCTAGTAAGAAGCATCAAATTTATTAATCACTTTTATGAAAATTTTTTTGATAAGTTCACTTTAATGGAATTACCAAAAAATTTGTAAGAATGCATATTAACATGCCTAAATAGTTCTATATGTAAAATATGAAATCCTCTGGTTATATTTACCAATGCTAAACATATTATTTAATATAATCGATATTTATTACTTTTAGTATGAAAATACAACACATTGGTGATGACTATATTTACGAAACACCACCTTGCAATTATTATTTACTACATGTAACAGAATTTTGATATGTAATTTTATGACTGCTACATTAACGTAATTTATATTAGCTTGCTTATATTAAATTAGGTCTAGTTTTATCAATAAATTCAGTAAATATATTATAGATTTTATTACAGGTAATCTTAAAATTCCGAACAAGTGTATCGAGACTAGCCAGCATTAAGCAATACGTATTAGTAATCATACCTATAAAAAATTATCACTTTGCTTAATAAATGGGTGTGACTTCATCAAATACGTAATTTGTTTTGTGCTAAATAACAAATATGCATGCAGACAGGTGTTAAAATTTTAAAATTACGTTTTTTGATAGGCATTATATATTACCCAATGTGTTAATCAAAAATGTAACTATTGTCATAGCTTTTGTACTACTATGACTAAACATTAAATGTCCTCCGTTACCGCTACGCTTCAGTCAATTAAGTTTGTATCTTATTTAGCACATGAATTTTTTTTCCTCTTTAAAAAATATGGACTCTAAACAACTTCGTTCTATTGGTTACAACTATCAACAAGGTATTGGTGTTAAGAAAGATGAAAAGAAGGCTTTTGAACATTATATGAAAGCAGCTGAGTTAGGAAATTCAGTTGCGATGATTAACGTTAGTAATTATTATGATTATGGAATTGGAGTAGAAATAAATTACCAGAAAGCATTTGAATATGATAAGAGATCTGCCGATTTGGGTAATGCTGTTGCAATAAATAATCTTGGTTTTCATTATGGAAGTGGGAGGGGAGTTGATCAAGATTATAATAAAGCATTCGAATACTATGAAAAATCTGCTAATATGGGTATTGTTGCTGCAATGAGAAATGTTGCTCGATATTATCGTAACGGTACCGGTACTAAGAGAGATATTCAAAAGGCAAATTATTGGTTCACAAAATATAGAAGTTTTTTGAAAACTAATAAATCACCAGATAATATCAATTCTGAACTTAAGAGTGTATTAGACGATGAGAGATTTAAATTATCTTGGATTTATTATTATTATTTTAAGGATATTAGAGAACAAGAAAAGGGAGGATTCGCAACTGTATATAGTGCAACTTGGTACGACGGTATTAATAGTATATGGCGGACTGTTGCACTTAAAGTGATTCGTGATTCAAACAAAGATGTGCAAGAATTTATCCAGGAATTAAAGAATTACTGTGAAATTTGGTTACAATAATCCTTCATTCTTGAATTGCTATGGGGTATCAAGAAATGATGATGGCAATTATATTATTGTTATGCAGATTGCACCAAAGGGTTCGTTACGACAAAATCTTGCAAAAGTATCACAATTAGAATGGAAAGATAAATTGAATATCTTGTACTGTGTAGCTTTGGATCTTGAGTCGATTCATTCGCAAGAACTCGTTCACAGAGATTTGCACGGCGGAAACATTTTGCTACGAGATTTACAAAACGCATATATCACAGATCTTGGACTTTCTAAAAAAATAAAGGAAGGAAAAATTTGTGGTATACTACCATATATAGCACCTGAAGTTTTGGTGGGTCAACCGTATACTCAAGCATCAGATATTTACAGTCTTGGAGTTATCGCGACAGAGATTTCGACCGGACAAAGAGCATTTGATGGAATTTCGTTTGATGGTGATCTGGTGTCAAAAATTCTTGGTGGAACAAGACCTAAATGTTTAGGACCAGATTGTTATATTGAATTAGCTATGAAATGTATGGATAAAGATTTTGATAAACGACCTACTGTAACAGAAATTATTGAAATAATCACTCGTTGGTTAAGTGAAATAGATCAAGGTGATAATGAAATCAAGAGACAATTTTTGGAAGCTAATAAAGTTAAACCAGACTAGGTGTATACTAGCAAATTATATGATACGAAAAAATTTTCAGAATATATAATCTCTGGCAAATTATAAATTTATATTTAAATTAAATTATATAAAAGTTATTTATTTAACATACATTTAGAAATGTACAACTATTGTATCAAATTTTTACAATATTTTATCCTATTTTATTACAGAGATAAATATTTGCTTCTCACATAATCTATAAATTTTAGTTTATAATACTTATTATTTATGATATTGCGGTTTGTTTCTTGGAAGCAATCTTTATAATTAATTTTATCTTCTTTATGAATCTATGTCTCAAACGTTTAGTTAACTTTATAAAAATATAAATTTGAATTTAAAATTATTGGGATTACTAATATGCTAGCAATTTAATAATGCCATTTTCTAAAAATGTCGTTTTAACTTTTTATCTAAATTAAATATTTGAAAGGTTATAATATCAACTTATTAATTAAAAATCAAAAAAATATGTTAAAATATCAACATATTAATTAAAAATCAAAAAAATAGGTTAAAATATCTTTTTTATTTTTTTTGAAAATTGACTTCTGAATCTCCCCTTAAAAGTTACTACATTCTGCAGTAACTAGGTGAAACCTAGAAGTTTTGTGTTGGAAAAGTCTAAACTAGTTTTACTTTGCTAAAAAAAAATTTGTGAATCTGGTGAAATTATCGAAATTGAAAAACTGATAAATGGATATGAGAGGCAGTAAATTTACAAAAGACACTGAAATAAAAAAAAAATCGAATATTTATTATTTCTTCGAAAAAAACTTTGCCGCCATCATTTTTACTAATCACTGAATTAAATTAGCCTTAAATTAATTGATTGTTTTAATTTCATTAATAAACATTTACCATCTAAGTCTATTGTGTAGATTGCTAAAATCTAAACGATAAGTACAGTGTAAAGAACCCGCCTTTTTGAGGTAGGTTCATAAATAGAGGTTGAATCGCACAAAGGCACTAAAATTTTTTGATTTGATGTACTTACATAAATATCATCTGTATTCGTTTTATGTTCTTAGCATTAAGTTTAGCAAATAAAATGAAATAATGTTTAATCAGTAAAATAAAATAAAATATTTAAAAATAAAATAAATAATAAATATGTGTAAAAGGAGAGAAAAAATAATCGGTTCTTTTAATTTTTTATTACTAAATAAAAAATTACTCTGATATACTTTTCGAGTAATAAGTTCAATAATTAAATTTTATTAAATTTTTTTTTAAAAAGTGTATATCCTGATAATAAATGAATTAGAAAATAGTTGATTGAACGTATTTATAAAAAAAAAAAAATCGAAATTTTATTTTTAATTAGATAAAAGTTGCTCTTTTTATTTGGCTTAATATTTGGTATCAAATTTGTACGAAAATACTAAAAAAATCGTATAATAGCGCTTGATACAAAAAAGCAATTTTAATTTTCCGATTTCTTCTCTCCAAATATCATTAGTTTTGAGTTAACAAATCTCAATCATAATTTTATTTAAAAGATGTCCGTTACATGTCTTTAATGTGTTAAAATCGATTTTTTCTCTTATTTTTTCCTGAATTTTATTTTGCTGAATAATTTAAATAGTATAAAGAAAATGATTTAATCTTATGCAAAAAATACTTACACAAGAAAATAAAATTCTACGTATTATTTATTGCAATTACATAATGTTAAAAAAATTTCATCATCAGTCAACGAAATATAATTAATCCACTAAGAGCAAACATTCAACTTTTTTGAATAAAATTATGTTATTAATGTGCTTTAAGTATAGTATGTAACAAATTGTTACATTTAAAATCTTTTTAAGCCTCTTCTCCGAATTAATTAATAAAAGTTAACTTACAAATTCAATATACAGTATATATTTCATAATTAAACTATGTCTGAACCAAATGTTCCAGAAATACCCTTTAGAAAAATTTATTTAACTAAAAATGATACGGCATTTGATTTAGCTAATAGAATTGATGCAGTTGCAAATACTCTTATCTCAGTTGTATTATGGATTACAATGGGACTCAGAAATAATATGAAAATGTGCTACTTTGATAGACTATATAATATTAATTAAAGCGACTAAAAAAAGTAAAGAACGTAAAAAATTTTTCGTAAATGAAATTTTCAAAGGGAAATTTATTAGACTCAAAGAATTCATAAATTATGTAACTAAAAAGAATTAAAAATTTACATTTCATCACTTGAAGAACATGAAAAGCTAACTATTCTGAAATCAGTACCGAATAAAGATCTCTTATTTAGTAATTTAATGAGGCTGGATAAATTTTCTTTAAGAGCCTTGGAATAATAATATTAGTTTCTGGATCAATGTATTTTAGTTTGATAAAATTTTATTAGTCAAAAATAAATCATGCAAATTAAGAACAGATAATGTTTATATTTGAGTTACTAATAAAAAGTACGAGTTTAGAATTTTTAAAAATTATAATGACAAGATCTTCAACTTGAAATTTTATTAACTTTATTGCCAATAATTCAAAGAATACGTACAGCATATTCAGTAAATTAATTTTAAAAATCAACCATTTGGCTTATGATATTTGACTGACCGATGTTACAACAAAATAATGTGTCTTATATTTTTATTTAAATTTTAAGCAGAATGTAAAATAGGGACAAATATAAGAAATCCACCCTGGTAACAAAACCAACAAACTCATTATTTAATATTAAACATTTCTATGGATCTTTTAAAATCAGAAAATGATTCTTCTTCATATCCACTAATAAGAAGAGTTTCACCACGATTTCTTAATGCAAACACATTATACGGATCTATTTCTAATGATCTATTTAAATCTGCGAGAGATTCTTTATATCTACCAGTTTTACAATAAGCTTCCCCACGAAGACGTAATGACTCTGCATTGTCTGGTTCAAGTTGCAAAGATCCATTTAGATCAATAATTGATTTGTCATACCGAGCCCTTGATATATAAACTTCAGCTCGAAATCTTAATGTGGATGCATCATCAGATTCAATTGATAATGATTTTACCAAGTCTCTTAAAGCCTCTTGAGATCTTCCCATATCATGATAAATTTTTCCTCGACATCGTAGTGCGAATGCGTCACGTGAATAAATTAATAACGATCCGTTGAGATCTGAAAGTGATTCATCAAACTTGTTCATCAATCGGTAAGTTTCACCACGGTTACTTAAGGCAGGTGCATAACATGGTGCATATTCTAATGATTTATTGAAATCAGCAAGTGATTCATTATATCTCTCCATCTTACGATAGGCTACACCACGTTGAGCTAATGTAAATGGATTTTCTGGGTCAATTTCTAATGATTTATTTAAGTCGTCAATTGATTCTTCGTATCTTTTCACTTCATAATAAACTATCCCTCGAAAACATAATGCATATGCACACTTGGAATTAATCTCTATTGCTTTGCCTAAATCTGCGAGCGCTTCGTTATATTTTTTCATACAGTGATAAACTTTACCACGACCTCTCCATAAATCATCATCATCTTGATCCAATTTTAACGCTTTATTTAGGTCTTCAAGAGATTTTTTATATTTTCTTCTAGAGCGATTAATACGTGCACGAAAAAATAATGAAAATGTGCATTTTGGATTAATTTCTAGCGCTGCGTTAAAATCATCAAAAGAATATCCATAATTTCCTAAATCGTAATATGTTGCACCACGCAATCTTAAATAATAACCATTATTCGGATTAATTTTCAATGCTTTATTCAGATCTGCAATTGATTCCTTATATTTATTCATCATTCGATAAGTATATCCACGTTCAGCTAGTGCTATTCCGTGCTTTGGAGCAATCTCTATTGATAAATTAAGATCTTCGAGCGACTTATCATATTCATTTATTTGTTGATAAAATGTTCCACGTTCTTTTAAAGTCAATGTATTGTTTGGCATAATTTCCAAAGATTTATTTAAATCTTCAAGTGATTCATCATTACTATCCATTATGCGATAAATTGTCCCTCTAATTCTTAGTGCAGACGCATTGTTTGGATCAATTTCTAATGATCTATTTAAATCTGCAAGTGCTTCATTAGATTTTTCCATAATAAGATAAATTCCTCCACGAATCATCAACGTATCTGCATTATTGGGATCAATTTCTAATGATTGGTTTAAATCTGAAAGTGCTTCTTCGTATTTTAATCGACTTTTAAGTAGCTGATCATTATCCGATTCAGATTCAGTTTTAGAAGATTTTTCAAGCCATTCTTCTAATCTCCCTAACACAAAACAAGTTGCTCCTCGATTTTTTAAATAAAATGAGTCATATGGATAAATTTTTAACATTTTAGTAAAATCTGCTCGAATTTTTTCATATTTACAAATTCTTGCGTGGATCTCTTCATTCGACACTATAATCTTATGATTTGATTCAATTTCAAATGCTTTGTTTAAATATTTAATAGCTTCCATATATCTGCCAATTTTATAAAAAATTTTTCCTCTAGTTCGCAATACAAACGTATTATTTGGTTCGATTTCTAAAAATTTTGTAAGATCTACCAGTGATTCTTCATAATTTCCAGTAACATAATATGTTAATCCACGACTTTTCAATGCTAATGAATTATTAGGTCTAATCTCTAATGACTTATTTAGATCAACAAGTGACTCATTATATAAACCTAACATTCGGAAAGTTGTACCACGGTTGTATAAGAAATTTGAATTATTTGGATCGATGCTCATCGCTCTATTTAGATCCTCGAGTGATTTTTCATAAAGATCCATCTCATAATAAGTTTCACCACGATAATTTAACGTAAACGCGTTATTTGGATCGAGTTTTAAGGAATTATTCAAATCTTCAATTGATTCATTAAATTTTCCAGTCATACGATAAGCTAATCCACGATAACAAAATGTAAATTTATCATTTGGATTAATTTCTAATATTTTGTTGAAATCTTCAAGCGCTTTTTCATATTTATCCATTGAAAGATAAATTAATCCACGATTTTTTAATGCGATTATGCTATCGGATCTATAAAGCGTAATTACTTCTAATTCGTCAAGTGATTCTTTATATTCGTTGTTCATTGTACAATAGGCTAATCCACGGTTTTCTATCGACATTTCTCCACATTCATTCTTCATAACAAAATCTAAACATAATAAAACATATAAACTGTAAATAAATATATTTTACATGTTATAAATCTTTTTTGTACTAAAACTAAAATTTTGGATTTATTCTTACCCATGTTTACATAAATTGAGTAAATTGAGTTTACGAGTACTGTATGTGATTGTTTTTATTTTGAAGATCATATTTGTACAACAGAGGGTACTGTGCAAATCACATGCTTTGCACGTTTCGAAGAAATTGACAGGGTATAGGAGCAAAACCTACTTTTTTGATACCGATCGACATGTAGATCCCTGTAAAAATAAAACTTTTTATAAATTTGAGCGAAGATATCTCGACACCTACCCGCTTGAATCTGATAAGACCTTTTCGATTTGATTTATATGCATTCAGAATTCAAATAAAAAAAAATTCATCGAATTTTGCCATGTGGATGTTGAAATATCTTCGCTCAAAAGTAGAAAAAAATCAAACCGCCATCAAAATAGAAGCTGCGCTAAATTTTTCTCTAACTTTGAGCGAAGATATCTCGATAACTATATGACCAAATTCGATTAAACGTTTTTTTGTTTAAATCCCATGGATTCATAGAATTCTATAAAAAAATTTCATCGAATTTAATCAAGTGGCTATCGAGGTATCTTCGCTCAAAATTAGATAAAAATAAAACCGCCAATCAAAATAGAAATTTTCTTACAACTTTGAAGCGAAAATATCTCGATAAGTCTGACCAAATTCGATAAAAATTTTTTCTATAAATTCTGTGCATTCATAAAATTTAATTTAAAAAAATTTAATTGCATTTAGCCAAGTGGGTGTCGAGATATCTTCGCTCAAAGTTAGAAAGAAAATTTGGTTTAGATTCTATTTTGATACACATTTTGATTTTTTCTTTGAGCAAATATATATCGACAACCACTTGATTAAATGTGATAAATTTTTTTTTATTTGAATTCTATAAATTCATAGAATTCAAATAAAAAAAAAACTTTTATTGAATTTGGTTAGATGATTATCGAAATATCTTCGCTCAAAGTTAGAAAGAAAATTTCTATTTTGATAGACGCTTTGATTTTTCTCTAAATTTGAGCGAAGTTATCTCAATTACCACTTGACTAAATTTGATAAAAAATTTTATTTGAATTCTATGAATTTATAGAATTCAAACAAAAAAAGTTTTATTGAATTTGGTCAGGTGGTTATCGAGATATTTTCGCTTACAGTTAGAGAAAATTTGTGTAACTCTTATTTTGATAGGCTTTGCGAAGATATCTCGACAACCACATGGTTAAATTCGATAAATTTTTTTTTATTCGAATTCTATAAATCCTTAGAATTCAAAGCGAAAAGGTTTTATTAGATTCAGGCAGGTAGATGTCAAGATATCTTCTCTCAAGGTTTTTAAAGAGTTTTTATTTTTACCGGGATCTAGTATCAAAAAAGTAGGCGCAGGATTATCAAAATGAATGTTTTGCGCATGGGATCGATTATCCGGTCACATGATTTATCGACATCGTTAAGGTTTGGGTATTGGGTTTGAGAGCTATAATAGTATAATTGCGTAAGGAAAATTTTTCGTTAGGACCAAAAAGGCTATTTACTAGTAAATTTCACAAAGCGAACTTTGTTTTAATTTCTTTACATTTCGGTTTTTAAATGGCTAACTGACATCGGATAATCACGTGAAGAAAGTGCCCTGGCGTTGTTCATTCCGAATATGAATTCAACAACGTAAGCTATCAAAGTATTTTCATAATTTTTGGACAAATTTTCTTTTCAAGTATCCAATAAAATTTTATATAAATTTTTTTAAATAAATTCTATGATAAATTTAATTCATTGTTTTATATAAATGATGAGGAAGAAAAACAGCAAAATTTTTTTCAAAGCAACATATTCAACTCAATGATAAATAATAATCACATTTATTTTCATTTCAACGTCTCTTGTAAATTTTACTGCCCCTTGTATTCATTTACTAGCT